AGGTTGACCCCAAGGGCTTCACTTAAATTTAACGCCCTTGCTTCCTAAGGAGATGCAAGAGCCGAAGATTCAGAGCTGGGCTGTAAAACAGAAGGCACAGGCAGAACGTTTGGAGTGACCCAGTGATGAGTCGGACCCTTCTTTATGCAGTGAAACGCGCATCAGTGCATTTGGCTGGTACTTGTGATGACACTATGATGAATCATGCAACATTTGAATATCTGTACGCGTGCATAGCTTCGGCTACTGCTTGTGCAAATCTTGTCTCTGACCAATAGCCTGTCACTGCCTTCTAGCGGCTTTATTTTCTTCGTATAAGTTGTGTGTATGGAAAAGTGCGCACTGATGATGCATTAGGAGAGTTATTAACCCAGCAGATGGAAATTTTAAATTATCAACTAGGAGTAATAGAAGGATGTTTTACCAGAGTAGTTCTGATATCAAATGTTTATTACATTATTATAAGAGGCCTTTCCGAATTAAAACGGCAAAATATGCACCAATTCAACCGGCTTCAAAAATCAACATGAAAATGAATTAATAGTTAAGATTTTCCGCGCACGATGGGCTCAGCTTGCAGGTTGCAGCACGTTTAAAGTCTGGAAGCAGCAACAACAGTGATAGACGATAAGAACTGGCCTGACTTTCGTGGGCGTCGGTAGACCGTCGTTTCACTCCCCCGGATTAAGTCAAGGCCTACTTGCCCCCGCCTACCGCGAACCCAACGATGACTAATAGGCTGACTCACTAATATTAGCCAGACTACGTCCTGACAGGCTGCGTAAGCGCGTACCACTGTGGCCGTGATGATTGCACACTGTACCGTCAGCATGTCTGCTTCCCAGGAATCGCACGGAAGAACACAGTTCCGATAACAAACTCCAGGAGACCTGTTCTAGATTCTGCTAAACCGTGATATTCAGTGCGACAAGCGGTTACCTTACCTGACAGGGACTTTTAGCACCATATTCATGCATACTCGGACTGTGTTCCCTTGACTACAGTACGGCCTAAAATAACTGTAACATACCGATATATATGGGAAAGTTTGGTACTCTTTCACTAATTGACATTGACTAAGGTTTTAATACTGAGTATCGTGTGGTCTATTTTCGAATCATCTCAGTCGCAATAGGGTGCCGGCTTTTTAACGACTTTCGATCTGACCGCTAATAAAACGTATGTACTGTAAAAAGTGGCTACTTAAATAGTATGCATTTTTATCACTGATTTTGACTACCTTTATAAATTCAAATATATTTTATACAGAACATAAACGATAGATATTTTGTACTCATACTTACAGAAAGGGATCATCCCGTTTTAAAATAGTTTCTACTTATGAGCATTTTACGATTGTAAAGTGTTCATCTATAATACATCGTATCCGTCAATTTATTAATGCCGCCTAGAATGCATACAGCGTGATCCACATCTATTGCAATATTTTATGAGAAATATTTGACAAATTCATCAAACCGTACGCAGTAACGTACTTTTCCTTGAACAAGATGTACATAACACGCAGTTTGTAAACCTTAAATTCATGTATAGCAGTCAGTAGGTTTCCAAATTATTCGGCAAATTAGAATCTTTTTTAAAACCGAAAGATACCTTTTCTTTAAGTATGAAATTTAAAGTAGGCGTAATTTCTTACCAAACCAAAACAAGACAGGATTTTTTTATGCATGTTTTCCATAAAATATATTTGAATTTATTAAGGCAGTTAAAATCAAGGATAAACAACATACCTCTTATGTAGCCAAGGAAAGTAAAAAAGCCAAACTTTAAAAACCGGCAAATCCACCAGAAAGCAAACAGGGAAGGCTGGGGGACGCACTTATGCCCCGGACCCCTAGCAGCTGTATGAAGCAGCGGCAAAATGCCGGCGAATCACGTGTATGGGCCTATTAGTTAGGTAGTACCTAGGCCGTTAGTATGGTAAGTATATGCTCATAAATAGTGTTTATATAACAACACGTGGTCTAAACCAAGAAAATGTGAAGTCTTACGTCAAATGCATGCGTAGAGGGCCCGTTAAAAGTGGCCGTCACCTTCGAACACCCAACGAAGTTGGATCGTGCCTGAAGCCAGGGTGAGATCATGGGTTTCACAGATTCCCGGCCGCGGCATCACGCATCGGGATTTATTTACCCCAAGCGTAGTGGTTAAGAGCACATAGCACAGGTAGATGATTCTGAAGACAGAATGTCGAATGCGAAGACGGAACATTAGGCTTGTTCCCTTAAACCAGCCCAACAATTCAGGTTTATTTTGTTAGGCATTCTCATCATGACTAAAATTCGATTGGTAAAAAACCCGTTTGACTTGGCCTGCCACCACCGCTGGCAGGCAGGACTTATTGATTAAAAATGGGATACGTTAAGCCACGTGTAAAAATTATACTGAAGGACCTTGCTGAACTAGCACCATGCCATTTAATCCTATA